CGAGGGACGATTTTGATGTGCTGATAGCTTGAAGTTGTGGTTTGTGGATCTTTACCGATATGTGCTAGTACCTAAGGTTATTCCCCCAGAGTTCCATGTTGCCTCAGAGAAGATATGTTGTCCATCAACACCGGGAACGCGTAACGAGCGACACCGATTGGAGGATAGGACTATGGAAATCCCGATTGAACAAGGTTGAGAAGAATCACTTTGCATCTCACAGTTTGTGAGGTGTGAGTGTCATACATGTGTGGGCGACGTGATTGAGATGTTCAACAAAGATCCCCCCGACGTCTGTGGGAGTGGCATTTCGGTAAGGTGTGTTGTGTAGAAAGTCTGCATTGGTCATAAGAGATATGTGACCCGCGGAGGATCTGGAGGATGCTTGAAGATGGTATAGCTGGGTCAACCACATCCTTCACATCGGATGAGATACATCAAATGTCTCCAGCAACACTTGAGAGAACAGTAGTTGCAGGTAGGGATCCGCCTTTCCTAGCTCGGAGTGAAGCTCATTGTACATCGAAGCACGTCCATCCCCCCTATTCTTGTTGACGGTTACTCCCCGACCAAGATGAATCCTTCGATGAGATATCGAACACACGGACCAAGGAGATTGGTCCAGTTGGTTTTGATGGCAATCACTGCCGATCCGGCAGCGGCTACATTCCGACATGGTTTGTCTCTTAATCACCATGTTATTCAACCCACTCTGTTCGCTTGCATCCTCCCTCGTCCTCTAAGTATCAAGCTTGAAGGTCCCCTACGAGATTTGGTTTTGCAGTTCATTGAATTACGTGCTAATGGGCGAAATGTCTCAGATTTTTGTCCATCGCTTGCTTGCTTCTCAACACCGAATGCAGCACGCCCCAGATTCGTATGATATCACAGGCTAATATCTGTCGATCCCAACCCCACCTTCAGGTCGATCACGTTTATTCATCTTGGATTCACCACCAGTGCTTTACGGTAGTCTATTCTGCCGTTGGTGCCGGCGACTGGTCCAATCTACGGCGTTTAGGGTCGATGCCTCGTTTGGTACGGTTGCTGTAGCCCGGATGATCTTTGTCAATACCAGATCGCCACAAACACCCGTGTAGCTCTCAGGAGTTCACCTTTGGATCCAATGCGGCGAGGATGTAAACTCATGATCAGCACACGTTCAAGAGCACTGGCCATTTTCCTCCAGCCCAACGTGGACTTGTACCTCGGTCATCGGGCGGCTGCATCTTCTCCAGTCTAGTGTTGGCTAGGGAACAGAAGTAGGGTGCTCTAATTGTTCTCGGTGGTGAGCATTCCTGAATCTGGTTCTGTTTATAGTTGAATATCAGCACTCCCCACTATCCCAATTGTTATTTCGTCGGCGCTGTCCACGTTCAACCATGATCATGGGACGAAAATGAAGTTGTAGCGTTTTGAATCCGACTGATCTGGTCCTGCACGTGTAATACCTGGGGTATTTGGCCTGGGTCACGCTCAGATACTTACTGCAGGCTTCGACCTCCCTGCAAGCATCGAACTTCTCCAGAAGGGTGTCCTTCTGCGCTATATAACAAATTGTAAGTCGAAGGGAGCCGATGACGCATTCATGAGCGCAAGGATCTTCGGTGTTGATTATGATGAGGACGTACCTAAATCTGTCAATCAACCAACCATTTTTTCCGCTTCGACTGGAAACCCCGTTGCTGTCGAAAACAAACTCTGGAGGAACAAAAGGAACAAACTCGTGCAGGAAACGTGTTTGCAAGATGGATTCACAAGGTATGTTCCACTTAACCCATATGCAACATGTTTGAGACCTATGAGTAGATTTCAACTCAACGGAGATGGAGATCTTGCATTGACTTGGAATTGGGACATGGGAAAGGCCTGGATCTCGCAAGCCTGGAGTGCTTTCGATGCCTGCAAAGTCTCATTAGAGGATGATTTGAGGGACTTCAGTGTGTTATATGTTTTTTTGCTGGCTAACGTTCAACATCGACCAGAGCTTGTCCCCCGCGAGGCATAGCTGGACCCTGGATGCCGATGTCGATATTACCCCATCCTAATACCAACGTCAATTTCAGCAACCCATCTTTCTGTTCATCTCTCCACCTCCGCTCGACCTCCACAGGGGCGATACTTCCGAACGCCATCCTTGGTCTTTCCATGAGGATGACGGACCTCCCCTCTCACCCGAGGCCTGCGTCGACCTGAGCCTACCTATCAAGCTCAACTTCATCAACTGGGGATTCAACTCATGCTCGTGGTCACCCGACTTGTACAAATTAATGCATGAATATCAGGTCCCTCGAGGGTTTGACCCAACAACCACCGCGTTCGCTCGACATCTCGGATACACTAACATCTTCCGACCTATCAATGAATCAGATCGCTTCGAAGGCGTTGATGAAGCTGATCGCCGACAATCTCTCCAATGTCCGTTTATTTTCTAAGCTTTGTTTGCAGATGAAATTTCTACACGCCCTGAAGTCCCTATCGATCTCAGTGAACCTGTGTTTACCGTCGACCCCGATGACCCATTGAGCGTGTCAGGACAAAGGCCCGTCCAAGTCTTGAGTCCTGGAGGCGATACCCAAGCCCAAGATACTACAGAAGCACCCGCCGACACCGCCGACCCGAACGATCCCGCAAACAACGAACAGGAAGCCGACGGGGGAAGAGATCTCCATACCAAGCACAGGACCGCCGGCAACAAAAGCGCCCCAAAGGGTGAAGGTTCTCCCCCGAAACAGCGACCTTCAGCAAGAAATATGCCCCGGTTAGCTCGCCACTTTACATCCCTCTCTCTTGTACCTCGGGGGCTCGCTACACCCCTTCCTTCTCTTAGCTCAGGGGAGGACCCGTCATTCTCGCTCAGCGACAACACTGCGATTAAATACTCTGTTTGTCGATCCCCGCTGATCTAACTTCAACGTCACGACGACATGAACGAATGGGTGAGGTAGCGGTTTCGACCACGATGGCTCAGCAGGAGGATGATAATGCTGCTCAGGGCTAGTTCGTTGTTGCTAGACTTCTTGGACTTTCCGCTACCCGTACGTGGACATTCCGATCTCGCTCTCTCATCTGTATATCAGAGTCAATCATTGTGTATTTACTGTTACTTTATCCCTCGTTGTCATTCTTTATAGTAGACCGCATACAATTATCCAACGTACTGTACTACTTTACTTTGATCGTCACTCACCGCATTCACATATTGCTCCCTATAATGTCTTGAAGATCGAGGAGAAGGAAAGCGTCAAAGTACCTGATCTATCAAGGAGACTTGAGACGCGTCCCCAACTAAGTCTAAAATTATGATTGCGATCGCCAATAAATCAGTGTTCGTGATTCGTCCCACAACTACCCTTGAGGCATGAAAGTGTAAGTAATCGACGGGAAAAGGCCGCCCCCGAGGCGAGAGACTCACAAGCGATGAATTAGCCTGTGGGTGACTGATCTCGCTTAGGCCTGTTTGGTTCTGGTACCAGTCATTGAGAGTGACCCTCCTTTACAATCAATGGGATAGACGGCACAAAACGCTTGAGAATTCAGCGTGCTGGACCCGCAGTGATCGTCGGATTGAAATTTGGCTTACGCTGTCAGCCTCTCGGTCCCGACATCACGTTGGCTTTCGGCGTTCGAATTTTATGCTCCGATCCGGACATCTCGTTTCTTTCACCTCCACCTACCTCCTCCACCTTTGCTCTGCTCAATAAAAACAAGCCCAGAACCTACTTTTCCGTTTATCTCGACGACTGTCATTCCTTTCTCCCTCATTAAGAGAGCCATTTTCATCTTACGTTAGGCAGCCGAAACAACACAAACGATCCCTTCACTTGACTCGCGTGTGGATGTCGAAATCCACGAACTAGAACCTCAGGGTGTCTGTTTCAGAACTGCGGTGCCGACGTCAAAAGACATTTGGCACGAATTCTGGGCAAAAAGTCTGGGTTTTGGGGCTTGGGGTATATACAGGGTGACTCGCGATTTGGTTTGTCCGATCTTTTTCTCTAACCACCACTACATTCGTCTCTAACAGCAGTATCATCACTTGTCTTCAGCAACATGGCTTTGAGCCTTCTCAGTCCCTATACCATCCTGATTCTAAGCCTACTCACCCACGTCAACGCAGCGGTAGAGCGTAGTCCCACACCAGAAGACTACCTTCGCCTACACAACGATCTTCGAGCCGTGAAGAATGCTGAACCGTTGACTTGGAACGACAAATTGGCCTCGTACGCGCAAAACTGGGCAGATAAATGTGTCAGAAGGCATTCGAAAGGCCAGTGGGGCGGTATGTCCTTCCAGTTCATAGCTGTGGATTGTCATCGTTGACCCATTCACTCGACATGATGGATAGAGAACCTGGCATGGGGATACGGTGAAAACTGTGACGCTGGGAAGGGCGTTGGGTATTGGATCAACGAGCAATGTGCGTCCTCGATCCCTTCCTTCGTGCTTTTCAGTACTGACCTTTGTTCGGTTTATGTGCAGACTCGTACAACCCCTACCACCCTCGACCGTCTCATTACACCCAGATGGTATGGAAAGCTACGAAACAAGTTGGATGCGCGATTGCTTGGTGCCCACACCTCTACCCGAATGGTGGGGATTTGGCCGTGAGTGGTCGTTTTGGTGGGAATTATGCGCATATATGATGCTGATGGTCGGTCATTCGTTCGCCGTTTACCCCCTCCTCGATGCATCAAGTACCGAACTGGCAAGATGTTCGTATGCGAGTACTACCCTGCGGGAAATGTGGATGGACAGATTCAGTGCGTTCCTACTGGGCCTTGCTATTCACAGGATGTAGTACTGACGCAGTGGATTCAGGGATAACGTCGGGTGAGCTTTGCTCAAGCGTGCACTGAGGCCGGGGGCTGGGATACCTGTCTGCCGTAGACACATCTCAACTTTTCGCTAACTCCAGAAGTTAGACTGTCAGCATTTCATTGAATCAACTTCTTCCACGTTGAGAACTTCCTGTTGTCGTGCCTGTTACTGAAATTGGGGGCCGACTAGCTCAGTTGGTTAGAGCGTCGTGCTAATATGACCAGAATGTACTGGAGAAATTACGCGAAGGTCTTGGGTTCGATCCCCACGTTGGCCAGTCACCACTTCGTAGTGTTGTGTCTTTTTCAACCTTGCCGCGAGAATCGAGGACGGAGGTAACATGACTGAGGATCCAGGATTCAATACACCTCCCATGAAATTGATACTGAAGAGCAAGCAGCTACTTACACTCAGGTTGCTCATTTTGGTGTTCCCGTCCTCCCCGCTAGCTCGGCGTTCATTCAAGAAAATTCGTTCTCACATGGGCGTCTCAAAAGTATTCAGTTCTGCTCACACACTTGACAAACCTATATTAGAGGCTGTCAATGCTGCGCGCCGACTCCCGAAGGTGATATGATGATTAGCCTTTATTCGGCTTTCGAGTTTGATGATCATCTCGAGGTTCATCATGACAGTCCTATCCAGTACCTAACTCTAATTGGGTTTCAGGGGCTTTGACTCAAGCTGCCGGGAGGCAAATGAGAACCCAGCTGATCGTCGCCGGAGCTGCACTCCCACCACCTTTTCCCTTCAGCGCCCACCATCACTTTTCGTTGCTCGGTCCCCAAATGTCGTCGTCCCTTGATACTTCTAGCTGGCGGGTAAGCAAATTAATCTTGGATCATTGAAGGCCTTACGAGGTCACGTTCTAACGAGTCTCCGAATTGCACGCGAAGAAATCAACCATCACAGCGGCATTCAACGACCGGGTTCAGGTTGCGCACGATGCGCTGGAGCAAGCAATTGCTAGGTTTTCTTCTGATGGGCAACTGGGTAAATCACGCTTTCAGCCGCTAGGAAGGGAATTTTGAGTTCATAGAGCGAATGTAGCCTCAAAATACTATCAAGCCGGGATCCTCTACTCCCAGATGGTGGATTTCGATCTGTTTTCCGGCCAAGTGAACTATAAGGATAGATTAAAGGCTTATTTGGGTGCGAGGGAGCGTGAAAGAGATGGGTGGGTCCTTTGTCGAATTTAGAACCTTAAACGCGACTTGTTGTTGACATTTTTGTTCTAGCGTCAATCCTGTCAGTCGATACCCCTTACAAGTTTCCGTTTTCGTCGACTGAACTTTCTACTCGCCGTGTAGTTCCTACGGGATGGACTGTAAGTCAGCTAGCAGATCCCGAGTGGCTCCGAACGAACTTATTCCCTTTGTTGGTAGCACAAACGGTTATGCGGCAATACGCGCCTTCACTGCATACAAAGATGAAGCGTTCTTGGATTTTGCGGTTGATTGGTGGGTATGGGCTCAGAAGTGGACGATCCCTGCTTCGGGTGGGGTGAAGGGCAAGAATTTTACGATTCAAGCCAGGTGTTTTGACAGTAAGTTGACGGAGCTACGGACTCTTTTTCTACGAGACGCTGAGTTAATCTTTGGAAGATAGCGTTGTGGGTGGGACATTTGATGTTCGTGTTTTGGATTTCTGAGAGTGATGCGAGGCTGAATTCGAGTTTTTGATGTGTAGAACCTCAATCCCAACGATGGAGTTGTTTCTTTGTTGCCTACGGCGTAAGCCCATTTCCTTCAATCGTACACTTCAAAGGAGTTGACAACGACTGACCCTCAGCTCCTTCCTAACGTACGATACTCATTGCCTTCAAGACGCCAACAATCCAGATTTGACCTCCCACTTCTCTCTTCCCCCTGCACGATTAGATTATCTTCCCTCCTCGAAGAATCAACCTCAAATCAAACATACCTCGACTACGCCACCTCGTCCTTTGACTTCATCCGAACGCAACTTCTCCGAACGTCCCAAAACTTACCAGACAACTCGATCTCGTTGAATTCGGCAGAAACGACGAACTGTACGGTTGCGGCATCGGGTGATTCGGGGAATGTGGGCGCGTGGATTGGGGCTTTGGGTGTTTATCGGGATGGAGAGGGGATGTAAGTGGTTCTTGTGTCTTGTTCTGGATTTGGGAACGGGCTCATATACCCGAGAACCTGTGTCCAGGATTACGGGAAGCGTTGTAGCGGCCCTCACTAACCCCAGTTGGCATACGAATGATGAGATACTCAGACAAGCGGGTGAGTTTTTGTATTCTACCTCTGTAAAGACGCGAGAGCTGAGAGTCCGATTCTTGAGGTACGCTCATGGGTAATGTCAACCTACCCCGAGGCCTCGCCACATTATACGAACGAAATAAAGCTTCGAATGTTCGTACCGAGATTGAGAAATACCTTTCAGTCCAGGTATTTAAACATTCTGCTCTTCCCTTCGACGCATATCACATACTCATACCATGGATAGTATAACGCCATAATCGACCAAAGCACCGACCCGGGGAGCAACATCTACAATGCCAACTGGACTGGACCCGCCCCGGATCCTTCTACAAAACTCGACCTCGACCTCGATGCGCAAATTATTGCTCAGCAGGTTTTAATCAACGCAATACGACTATCAGGAGAAAGTCCCAATCGTGGAGAACCTAATCCCTCAAGCTCTCACTCATCGGCTACGAAGGCGATTGCGGGAGGTGTAGTTGGAGGTGTGGTAGGTCTCCTGGGACTGGTCTTCGCGATCTGGTTCTGTATGCGAAGGAAACGTCGTCGGAATACTGCCAATCAAGAGGTCGAGACTCGAGGCTTGGAGCAGTCTAGCCCGTCGATCGAGCCGTTCACGAATTACTCGAGTTCGTCCCCTCGAGAGAAGAGTGCCCATTCATCAGGTGGCGCTAATGCTTTTGGCGAGGAGGGAGGGGGTCTGAGTTCGTCCGAGATGCTGATGAATCAACCCAGTCCTCAAAGTGGGGACGGCGGTAGAGGAAGAGGACCGCCTTCGTCTCAAGAACAGGTCCAACGAGGTGAAGAGCCTGGGCAAGTTCAAACACCCTCTACGGACGAAGGACGATCGCGGCATTTGAACGAGGACGTCTTGCGGCTCCGTAGTGACATGGAGCATGTTATGAGGGTATTAAGTCAGAGGCCGGGGAGTGATGGTGACTCTAGATCGAGGGTGGATGACGTTCCGCCACCGGAGTATCCGGGGAGAGGGTGAGATTTAAGCTTTGTAGGTAACGTGAATTTGTGGTTTTCTAACACTTTATAGTTTGTTTTGCTAACGGATTGTATACGTAGAGCTCCTAAATATGCTTGACTGCAGGTATGGTGATCATTGGCGGGAGGCCAGGACCCTTCTTGTCAAATTGTGTCTATAGATGTGTATCCCGACATGCCCGCCATGACGAGAGCGGATCAATTCAACCAGTCCTAATACCTCTTTCCGAGCTCTCTTCGTTCCCACTCCAACCAAGACCCCTCGTAAGCCAAGATACTAGGCAAATTAAACAATCAATTTGCCATGCCCCCACAAAATAGACCACAACTCACTTTGTAAACCCACTGCTACACGCAATCTCGCTCGCCGTCTTACTCCTCAGTCCTTTTGTGCAATAGAAGATGATCTCATTATTCCTTTGTGGCTTTGGAAAACCGTATGCCTTCTCAAAACGTTCGGGAGAATAACGTAGGGAGTTACCGAGATTTGATAGGGGGAGGTTTACGGCCGAGGGGATCATGCCGTGAACGACTTCATCGTGTTCGCGGACATCTATCAGGTATGTGTTCTGTCAGGGAACGTAATGATTTGAGTTGGGGATTTAGACGTAGGTATGGATCTTCAGAATACAGAATGCGTCAGAACGTACCTTCGAGGGCCGTTTAGTTCTGGATTTCATGATATTGTAGTTGACTATCCGAAAGTCTTGTCGGTAGGTTTGGGCATTATTATGATGGGCTCGGGTACGTGCAGGGGTGAGTATTGACTTGAGGGCTGACGAGGAGAGAGTGGCCGAGCGAGCGTGGAACATGGGTAAATATTAGCCGTGGTGAAGTGACCTTCGTGCCCTAATATACTACCCCGCTGCGATCCCGAAGAAGGACAGCGTCCCGTGAGTGAATGACGAGTGGGAAGCAGTAGTCCATAGGTGGTTCTACGGCCGTGGGCCATATACCAACCTCCAGCCTAGACTGCTCAATAACCCTTCGGATCTCATTCGTTCCCTCAGAATGTTTCACAGGCTGTATACTCAGAATCATCCGACCCAGTGGTTGCGGTCTACATACTGTGGGATGGCAACCATGAGTTCGGGAATTCCCGAACGATCAATGATGGTACTCATATTAGTTCAAAATATCCGAGTCTATTATCCGAGATGAAAACTCGTTTCAATAGAAAGCAGGTTGAAATTGGATCGGATATGAACATGTCCTACCAGCAGGCACAACACGAGAAGGAGATCGAGTAATATATCCTCAGGTAGGGTGTCTTAGTAAGTCTCCTCCAGTGGTGATATGGTATAAAGTCAAGAAATTGTCGACAAGGAAGATACAGATTGTTAAGCTCTCTTCCACTCACCCGAACGCAACATGATTACCGTGTACGATATGGGACCTTCCAAATTCCCCGTAGACGTTGGGGCTTCGCCTCACGTCCGTAAAATTATGTAAGTATTAACATTTTGCCACCCGTGATCGTCGTACGGCTCTAACGAGTTCCTCTCTTAGCCTCACTCTCAACTACAAATCCATCCCGTACGAAGTGAAGCACCTATTATTCGACGAGATCGAGTCGACTGCCAAATCTGTCGGAGTTCCTCCTACCGCGGTCCACCCTGATGGAAGTGCCAAATACACCATTCCTTTCATCCACGACTCTTCAACGGGAAAAGCGGTATCCGATTCCCTTCCTTGCATCGAATATATCGATCAAGCCTACCCCGATAAACCACAAGTTCTTCCCGCCAGTACGAGGGCATTACAGGCGGTCTTCATCGACTCTCTCCAAGCCAGAACGATGGCGTTGGTCCCTCTGATTGCGGCGAAGTGGCCGCAGTGGTATTCCATGGAGTTACTCCAGTCTAGAAAGAGGCTATACCCCGACGCGAAGCCGCCTCCAGCTCCGACACCGGAGCAGCGTACGCAGCTGTGGAACGCGTTGAAAGTATTTGTGGAGGGACTCAACTACGGGGAGAATGAGTTCTTAACGGGGGATAAACCGGGTTTGGTGGATTTCACGTTGGGTTCGCATCTCACTACCTTAAAGTTG